CTGAGGTTTGCTTTCCCGGAAGAACTCAACTTTCAGCATGTATCATGACAGATTTGGAAGTCTTTTCTTGCAACTCTCTTTTTCGACTACTTGTTAATGAGGAACTTCACTAGCTTTCTCCTAGGCAGGCTATGAAATCAAGCTTCTTGACTGGGATCCTGATTTTATGTCTATGAGGTTGAACATGTGTTTTCTTGTGAGGAGTTGGCCCTACCCCTGTAGCTGCCAGGATGACATAATGTGGAGAAAACCTGCCTGAAATTGAAGCTAAGAAAGGATAGCTGGTGGTAAGAAGATAGGGGAGGAGACACAGGGTCTGGTAACCTTGCTTGTATCTAGCAGTGTTTATCTCCAAATATTTCATAGAGGCCTGTCACAAATTAATGTGTGAGTTGCTCTCAGAAACTTTATCATAAGTTTTGTTTTCCTTAGGGATGAAGGTACTGAAAACTCAAGTTTAATAGTGCCGTTGTGGGACACATCACAATTTTGAACCACGTAGCCATCTTACTTTCAACAACATTTAAAATTTTCCTAGTTTATCCTATTGTACAAGTGTTTTGTCTGTATGTAATCTATGCACCACTTGCATGCCTAGTGCCCTCCTGGGCCAGAAGAGGGGTGTCATTTTCCCGGGACTGGAGTTACTGGCAGTTGTGAGTACTTGAAATTGATTCTCTGGAAGAGCACCCAAGCTCTTAACTGCTGAGCCATGTTCTAACATGTGTTTATTAAGTTATCTTTCAATCAGTCATACTGTGATTAGACTTATTGTAATCTCTGATGCATTTTCACTCTACCTAATCATTTTAAAAGTCCTGGGAAAATTATTCGTCGACTTTAATCTCTACTACAGAAATATTCTCCTTGTATGTGCCCCCCCCCTTTATTTTGGAGGTTGTCCTGGAACTCGATCTGTAGACGAGTTGGCCTCCAGCTCATAGAGATCTGCCTGCCGCTCCCTCCAGAGTGCTGGTGCATGCGCCTCCTTGTATCACTTTAATATTAGCGTGGTCCATCATGTCCATCTGAAGTTTTAATTCTCTCTCTCTCTCTCTTTCTCTCTCTCTCTCTCTCTCTCTCTCTCCCCCCCCCCCCCCCCCCCCCCCGCCCGTTTTTTATTTTCATGCATAAATTGTAACTTACCATCAGTTCCAAAGTCAGCTCTAGGGAATTTTGACCAGAGGTTTTTATCGATCAGAGCCCACAAACCATCTAGACTTTGTGACAAAAACACCGCCGGTGAAGGGGGGAAGGGGGGATAGAAGAATAAACAGGTGATGCCTGAGGTTTTGAGGTCTAGAGAAGAGGGGTCTCCGAGCATGACAGGCACGAGAAAGACGTCTTGGCTGGGTGCACAGCCGCCTGGTACCCGCCCAGACCAATTTCCGGGCCGCTCAGGGCTCAGAGGCGGAGCCCGGGCAGGGCGGGAGCTTGGTCATCTGACTCGGTGACCCGGGCACCGACGCTTCTTTCCCTGTATCCTGGGCAAGAAGGCAAGTTTGAGGACTGCTCGGACAGACCGCTGAGCAGCCATGCGACCGTCCCCGCATCGGACCCCCGAGCTACTGCTGGCGCTGCTGGCGCTGGCGGCGCAGGCCTCGGCCCAGCAGACACCCGCACTGTGGCCCTGGCCGCGCTCCGTGAAGGTGTCCCCGGAGCTGCTGAACATCGCCCCGGAAAACTTCCTTATCTCCCACGGTCCGAATTCCACGGCGGACCCCTCCTGCTCGCTGCTGCAGGAAGCCTTTCGGAGGTAAACAGCCCGGTCTGGGCCAGAAAGGCGGACCACCAGGCAATCTGGTCTCACAGGTCTGGACGATGGCATGGCAGCTCTAACCTATGCAGACCTAAGTCCAATGCTTGACCTGCCCTTGCTGCTTCCTGCGCACCCTGGATGCTCAGGGTCCCTGGTCTGGGTGCAGAATAACAGTGGGACTTGCAGCTTTAGTCAATCAGTTTGTTGGCCTCAGAAGGTCTGTTGAGATGGCTTCATAGATAGGGAGGAGAAGGTGGCTCAATCCTCTAAAGTGAGCCGCCAATGAGAGCATCTGGCCAGGCTTAGGTAAGGACCCTTTGAGGTCCCCAGGTATTCCTCAGTGTTGGCTGAGGCATTCAGCTCCATACTTCCCATACGTGGCAACAATTCAGATGTCCTCTATCTCTTGTAGTTTTTCTTCAAGTGCATCTGAGCCTGCACGAATTTATGTGTACCATGAGCCTGGAGGTAGCCGCAGATGTGGAGGACATGGAATCTTGGTGTGAGCCCCCAGGGCGGGTACTGAAACCAAACCCAGGTCCTTTGTGAGGGCAGTAAGAGCTCTAAACTTCAGAGCTATTTCCCCAGCTCTGAAAGAAAGTCCTTAAGTTGGAGCATTGTGGGAAATCTCTCCCTTCCAAACTGTTCCATTCCTAATGTTAGGTATTCCAATCTCAGTACTTACTTTCAAATGACTCCTAGATAAATATCTGCTTTACTTCTTGTTCCTCAACCTTTGGTTTCTTCCCCTAGGTTCCCTAAAACCTTTTCAGTGCCCTGTGCCCCAGACAGTCACTGCACTCCAGCCTTACCAATTGTATCAAGAGCAGGCTAGGCTGCATTTTGCAGTGATGGTTGAATGTGCCACCTTCTGTCCCCTCAATGCCAGTCCTGTGTGGATGGGACTGCCCCAGGGAACTGTAAATTGGTGACACCTGTGCGGCTTGCTTTACATGCCAGATCTTGTCTGTGATTGGTGAATTCAACTATAACCTAATTTTTCCTGTAGGACACCAACAGCTGCCCAGGAAATATAAAACAAAGTTTAGGGTGGGTCTAGGCTGTGCTACCTAGGCATCTGCTGAAGAGGCCCATTGTTTGCAGAAACAGCAGTGTCCTCTGCCACAGAAAGGCTAGTGTTTTCCTTATCATTTGTGCAACTTAGAGGACATTATCACCCTACTTTGGAAGCTTGCTCTAATAATCTTTTTAGGAGTTGAATTGCTAACAGGTTGGAATTCTTATGGTCCAGGTGGCATGAAAAGGTAAAACAAGTGGGGCAGTTTAATCCCAGCACTTGGCAGGCCCAAAAAAAAAAGTAAAACCAAAGCAGCTGGCTGGTAGTATTGAGATGTTTAGGATTGTAACTGAGTCACTGGACTGGATAGCTTTTAAAAGGTGCATGCCCTTTAGGGCTGACTGTAAAACTGGAGTTTTCCTTTCTGCCCTGATATGAGCTTGAGCAGGCATGACTACTTGTTAATGAATACAACCTTACAAGGCCTTGAATCAGCTATGAGATGGTTTGAAAACAGGCTTGGCATCCAAAACAAGTGCCAGCAATTATTACCTGAAGGATTTGCCCAACTAACTTGTACCTTGTGAGAGAAGCAACTGGTAATTGCACCTGACATTGTTTGGAAGCTGGTTATAAAACATGGCTAAACCTTGGGAGCAGGCAGCTGTGGCCTAGTAACTCCAGCAAGCATGGTAGAGAGGGTTGGAAGTCTCTAGAGATGCAGGGTTATTCAGGGGTCTCTGGGTAGTGAACATTCATACAGGCTGTTCAGAATTCTGTGCTGTAGTTGGAGCTTTCCTGTCCTGATCCCCTGCTCTCAAATAACCAGCAGCAGGTTCCCATAGAACTGACTCAGAAACCTAATATAAATTACAAATGCTCAGCTGATAGCTCACACTTGTTACTAGCTAACTGTTAGCTATTGGCCAGTCAGCTTGTTTATTAAACCAGTCATAGCAACACATATTCACACAGCATGCAGAAGGATTATTCTACAGCAAGTGGCTTCTATCACTAAGACCCCAAGTCCCATCACAAACAATGCTCTCTGTGGGGATAGTTTGGCTGGTCACTGTGGCAGCTTCTTCAGCTCAGAAAACCTACTAAATAGTAGGCACAATTTTGTTTTTGTTTGAGAGATTGGTCTCACTATGTAGCCCCTGGCTAGCCTTAAACTCACAACAGCTTCTGTCTCCCAAATGGTGAGATTAAAGGTATGGACCATCACACCTGACCCAGAACACCTATTTTAAAAGAATAGCTTCAATCCTTTTGTTAATTGGATGGAATGCTAGCTATCCCCTAACTCAGACCTCAGATCTTAAAGCTAGTTAGTGGTCACTCCCTCCACCCCCCACTCCTATCCCACACTGGGAGGGCCTGGTACATGCTAGGCAAAGCGGTACCACTTGAGCTATACCCTAGCTCCTTTTAAGTTTTATTTTTAATTTTACAGATAAACTTTTATAGCCAAGTGGTAGTGGTGTACACCTTCAATCCCTGCACTCAGGAGACAGAGGCAGGTAGATTTCTGATTTTAAGCCAGCCTGGTCTACAGAGTTCTAGGACAGAACTTCACAGAGAAACCATGCCTTAAAAACAAACAGCAAAAAAATAGTTTTATGTGTATAGGTGCAATACCTGTGAAGACCAGTTATAAATGATTGTGAGCCACCACGTGGATGCTGGGAATTCAACCCAGATTCTCTATAAGATCATCCAGTACTCTTAACTGCTGAGCCATCTCTACAACATTAAATTTTAAAGTGTTTTAATTATGGTAAAATTCCTTTATTTTTTTTCTTTGCTTATTTTGGGTTTTTGAGACAGGGTTTCTCTGTATAGTCCTGGCTGTCCTGGAACTCACTCTGTAGACCTGGCAGGCTTCTTACTCACAGATCCACCTGCCTCTGCCTCGCTATGTTGGGATTAAAGGTATTTGCCACCACTGCCTGGCCACATAAAATTTTCCATCATAAGTTTTAAAAAATACTTACTCATTTTTATGTGTATGGGTGTTTTACCTGCATGCATGTCTGTGCACCATGTGTGTGCAGTGCCTTTGGAATATGGAAGAGCTTTGAAAACTCCTATGTATGAATCTTATTCTCAGAAAGTTTAATCTGAAAGTCTGGACATTGGGATTTCCAGGAAGTTCCCCTTACTCAATGGTTTCTTGCTACTTCACAACTGATTTTCCTACCTAGTGGCAGTTCAGTTCCTGAGACCACTGGAAATGTGTGTTTTCCAATGGTTGCATCCCACAGCTTGAGAATTGACTGCACTGAAAATATCGTGAGGAAGTCTTTGGTTAGAATGAGCTGGCTTGAGATTTGAGAGTTGACTTCTGTGTCCCCTAGCACATACATATGATTTGGTTCATTATTGAAATGGATTTCTCCCACAGATATTACAAATATATTTTTGGTTTCTACAAGAGGCATCATGGCCCTGCTAAGTTTCAAGGTGGAGCTCAGTTAGAGCAACTTCAGGTGTCAATTACCCTCCAGTCACAGTGTGATTCCTTCCCTACTGTGTCCTCAGATGAGTCCTGTAAGTACCTATCATGAAATGTAGTCTTTGTAGAACATTTGTAAGTTCGGGAGTAGGTACAGATGGAAGGAGAATTCACCTGTCCATCGTGGCCATTTCAGGTGGCCAACATGCATGTTGTTTGCAGCAAATGTTTTGCATGGATACAAACATTAATATGAAAATGGGAATAAGCTGAGTGTGGCACTGGAGAGGCTGAGGCAGGAGGATTGCAGTGAATTGAGGCTACCTGGAACTAGAGTAAGACCTCATCTCAAAAAAAAAAAAAGAAAGAAAGAAAGAAAGAAAGAAAGAAAGAGAAAGAGAGAGAGAAAGGACAGAAAATGGGAGTTTTTGTACATGTGGGTTTTGACTTATTTTTACATAATTATGAACTTCATTAACTATTCTTTTATGATACAATTTCTGATGCTTCGTTATTCTACCACTGTATGGAAGAGTTAAACGAATCTTAATTTTTGAGGCTGTGGTATGTTTTTTGTCTTTTTAAAAGATTGTGTGTGGGTTGGTGTGTGTTTGTCTACATGCACACATATGCCCGTAGGTACTCACAGAGGGCATTGGATCCCTTGACTTGGAGCTACACCTGGTTGTGAGCCTCCAGCCTTGAGTGTTAGGAACTGAACTATGGTCCTCTGGAAGAGCACCGAGCACTTGAACTGCTGATCCTACTCTTCTGTCCTCAATCAACTTCTGTCTTTGAAGGCACATTAGGGCATCTTGCATACAAGACCAGCCTGCCCACAGGACTGTATTCCCAAGCCTTGTGCATACTTTCTCAGTAGGGTGTGTTGACTGGCAATGGTGTGGAATGGTGCCAAGGACTCAGAGACACAATGGAAAGACATGTACTATATGACAAGTGGCAGCAAGAGATGAGGAGATTGGGTATAGAAATCTAAAGAATGGCCGGGCGTTGGTGGTGAACGCCTTTAATCCCCGCACTCGGGAGGTAGAGGGCAGGTGGATCTCTGTGAGTTCTAGGCCAGCCTGTTCTCCAAAGCCAGTGTCAGGATAGGCTCCAAAGCTACACAGAGAAACTCCGTTTCAAAAATCAAAAAACAAAACAAAAAAAAAAAAAAAGGTAAGAAATAGAAAGAATGACGTGTCACATAGTAAGAAGAACTTACTCCTTTGTCCTTAGAATGCCTCCTCTGCATGTGGATAAAAGCCCTTTCCCTCCTCCAACACAGATAAGCTTTTTAAAAGGAATTGTGTTTATTGTTAGCGTTCCATTTATTTGTTTATTTACCTTTGTTTTTGTTTCTGAGCCAATCTTTTTAAATTTTATTGTTATGCTCAGTGGTGTTTTGCTTGTATGTGTGTCTGTGTGAAGCTGTCAAATCCCCTGGAACTGGAGTTACAGACAGATGTGAGCTGCTATGTGGGTACTGAAAATTGAACCCAGGTCCTCTGGAAGAGCAGCCAGTGCTCCTAAGAGCTGAGCTACCTCTCCAACCCCCAGATGAGCTTTCTTAATACACCCCTTAGGAAAATAGTTTCATTTGTTTTCAATTCTGTAGCTGTCCTTGGGAGAGGAATGGGTAATTTACCAGTGCTAGCCACATGATTTCGGTGGATAATGGACATGTAATAGGAAGCTATAGGAAGTATGTTTTGCAATCTGAATTGAGCTAGAAATGGCCACTGTGTTGCCAAGGTAACTTTGCTGTCCATCACCATCAGCAGTATAGACAACCTATGGTAGATTCTAGAAAATAGGGTGCACTGAGACTGGAGGGACTGAGCTTTTATTTACGTCAGCTCGTCTCAAAAGGAAGCTTCCTGCGGTCAGTGTTTAAGAAATTCGCCAGCACTGCAAACACAGAATCCCAACCCCCTATGTTAGCAATAAAGACAGGCATACCCTGGGAAGTGGAAGTGAAACCATTTCTACTTTAGAGAGGTAGCCACATACGTTTACCTGTAACAAAGAGTTAAAAACAAAACAAACTTGCTGTCAGCTGGAAGAGGACTGGCTGAACAGATAGACGTGAATTCATATGACAGACATGCAGAACTTACCAAAACAAACTGCTGAGTTGGACAAAGGAAGTTGTGCCGTATGGAGGGGATTTACCATTAATACACAGGAATTTGCAGATAAAGAATATTATATTTTTTTCATTACACAATTGCCAAGGAAAGGAACTAATAGGTATTTCATTTGGGGGAGGTAGAGAGAACTGGGTGGACACTCACGTAGTGTTTGAGTAGTATTTTAATTATTGATGTCTGTATAGATACCCTCTAAAACAAGGGTATTCACAGTGCAAATCAGTTCAGAAGGGGATAGCTGAAAAGTCGAGGCATCACCTCCTATCCACCCCCCAACAAACACAAAGGAAAGTCACTAACCGACCTACTAGTTGGGTTTTGAAATTAAAATTCTATAGCTATGTGTCTGCATTCTTAGCAGGTAATTCTTTTAATTGCTATGTATGATTTGATGAGTTGAGTCAGGATCCTTTTAAATATACACCAGACCTCAGCTATTGTAGGGAAAAGGAAGCCTGCGTTAAGTGTACTCAAAGTAGCAAAACAGTTCCGAGTGTGGTGTTTCACTTACTCAGTGCTGTGGTGTTTTGACTGGAAAAGCTATTCTGATAAAAGACTGTCAGCTGAGCATGTCACATGACTGACACACACATCTTTTCCTTGCCTGACAGGACCTGCCTCCTGACAGTCAGGAGGTAGAAGCTGGCATGACACTAAATCATTAGGCTCCTACCACCAGTGCCCCTTCTCTGTCTGTCCCTGACATACCTTTAGCTTTCAGGGTCTGTACCCTCTGTGCCCACCTTGCCCCAGGATGCACTGATACTAAACTTGTTATTGGTCATTAGGCAGGTATGATTCCCAAGGCTGAAGGATAATGGCCTCTTGGCACAGCCCAGCCAACTGGAACTCTTGGTACTTTTGTGTTGAGATAGGGTTCCTGTTTAGCCCAGGCTGGCTGTGCACCTATGATCCTCATGCCTCAATCTTCCTGAGTGCTGGATTTACAGTCTTTCTTTCCCTCCCACCATGCCTGGTTGGAGTCCTCTTCTTGATGGAAGCGACTTCTTATTGAGTGAGATGCAACTGGACTGAGGTAAAGGGAGCTAGAAAGCAAGTCTTAGTTCCAGTTTCTGATGGCATCAAAGGGAAGGGAGGTAGGACAAATGAAAACAAGAAAAGTGAAGTGAACTCACCTTGGGGGATGTAGGAAGTGTGAATAAGGACCATGAAAACAGAAGATGGTTTGTATTTCTGTGCTGAGGTGATGAGTGGTGGAGGGATGTGCAGGGCCTGCCTTGAACAGCTCAGCTGCCTGGCCTATGGCAATGGAGATTCACTGAAGTGAGACACAAGATATCTGTGCTGGTCAGGCTGGAACATGTTGAGTTGAAGGAATCTAAGTAGAGACACACTGGAGGAACAGGAAAGAATGGTGGGAAAATACTAAGGGTAAGTTTGGAACATAGACTGTTCGTCATTCCAGGATTAACCAAAGTTCACCAATCCTACCCCACAGATTCTCTACTTGTGCAGGGACCAGTGGCTTTCCTCAAGGCTAACAGAGTTTGGGGAGCATTACGAGGTAAGTTCTGTGCAATTTCATTGTCTCCAGTAGAGGGATGTTATCATATGTAAAATCAAGAACAGAAAACTGGGACCCAACCTTGGGTCCATCTTCTTTATTTCCTATGAAAAACTAGCCAAGCACTTAGATGCCTTCAACCCAAGATGCCCCAACCTGAACCTCAGGGACCTTGTGGCTCCCTTCATTGATTCCCAGTGCCATGGGCCAGGCATCTGAGGTGTTGAAGCCAGGTCCTTGGGCATCTGTTCCTCCAGCATGCTTCATCTTCTCAAGTCTGAACTGCCAGGTCAGAAATGCAAAATGTCTCCAGTATTCAGTGTTCTCATTCACTCACAATTCCTACCTCCTCATTTAATCTTGTCAATCATATTTGAGGGTGTGTGTTCATTCAGAGCATCAGACATTTTACTCATGTGACAGCCTTCAGAGTGTAAAGTGGTGGGCAGTCCTTTCACACATGGCAAGCAAGCCGCCCATGGCAGCAACATGTTTTTCCATACAGGCATACAAATAATGAGTCAGTTATAAGAAATAATCTGAAGTAAACACATTCCTATCACTATACCTGGGAGGAGCACAAAAGCATAATCCAAGATCAATTCTGTGTTTTTGAAGAAATGGAGGCCACAAGACTCTTGTCTTATTTTCTTGGAGTTTTCTCAGAAGCACTCAGAATTCTCACATGACTCCATTTATGGACTGTATTCCAATACTGGGCTGTAACATTCCATGGCGGTCAGTGGCCCCAGTTGGTTCAGCTTTGGTTTGGACTCAGCAATTCCTTCTTGCCTCCTTCAGGAACCAAGTATGTGTCTTCCCCAGTTTTCCATGCCTATGGCTTCAGAAGCATCAGCTTGAGCACTGTGAAAGGGAGTTTGCTGTAGAACGGTGGGAGGAGTAGGCGGGTGGAGGGCTGCATTTTACAAAGTGTGGATACAGTACTGTTCCGACTATTCACCCTGTGGTCACGAGCCTGTTTGGGTATTACTCTTATTTCAATATTTGATCTTGTAAATAACACAATATCTTTTGCTTCCCCCAGGTTTAGAGACATTTAGCCAGTTAGTTTACCAAGACTCTTATGGGGCCGTGAGTATTCCTATTGTTTTACTGAACCTGGATAGACATTCTTGTTAGGATGTAGCCTCCCCAGAAGTCCTAAGAGTTTCTTTTCCCAATATATTTGCTTACAAATTTCATGCATTTTTGGGTCCTAATATATTTGATTTATTTAATATACAGATATATAGAGATGTATAGTGTTCTGCCTGCATGTATCCCTGTGGGCCAGAAGAGGGCACCAGATCTCATACAGATGGTTGGGAGCCAAAATGTGGTTGCTGGGAATTAAATACAGGACCTCTGGAAGAGCAGCCAGCCAGTGCTAGTAATTTCTAAGCCATCTATCCAGTCACTGGTCCTAAAATTTTGTCTAGTGCTTGTGTATAGTTGTAGCCTTTGTTGAACTTGAGAGAAACATTCTAAAACTCATCAAAATTTATTTCTTCTCCTAGTTCACCATCAACAAATCCATTATTACTGACTCTCCAAGGTTTGCACACAGAGGAATTTTAATTGATACATCCAGACACTACCTGCCCGTGAAGACAATTTTAAAAACTCTAGTAGGTGATTTCTTTATCAGATCCCTTGCTCCTCCTGAAGTTCTGCCCCTGGGTTCCTTTCTCCTGGGTTCTTATGCTGTCAAGTAAGCTGGAGTGAGAGGACTTGTTTTTCTTGTCCCTCTCAGGATCCCTCTCTGGGGGAGAATGATTCTCGGGTGGAATGGTGGCATGCCCAAGTGGATCTCCCTGTGTTTTCACAGACTACATGAATTTGTCCAAGACTGTTATGAGAAATTTTATTGTGTTTTAAGCCAGGCTGCCCTCAAGCCCCCAATCCTCTTGCCTCCGTTATCGGATTATCAGTATGTACTACTACTTTTAGTGAGAATGGCAGTTTGGTTTGTTTGTTTGGTTGGTTGCTTTTTGGTGGGTTTTCAAGACAGTGTTTCTATGGGTAGCCCTGGCTATCCTGGAACTCCTTTGTAGAACCAGTTGGCCACAAACCCACAGTGATCAGCCTGCCTCTCTAGTGTTGGGATTAAAAACGTATGCCACCATATCCAGCAATAAACGAGAAAGGCAGATTTAATACTGCCATTGGGCCAACTAACATGCTCCCATTTGTCAATCAGGGGTCTAGACACACAACCCAGGAACATGGCCAAATCACTCTAGCTATTGCTTTTTTAGGTGACATAGAAAGGGGTCAGGGAGTGGGTTTTTCCCTTTGGAAATGTTCCAGAAAAATACGGAGCGTTCAGGTAGCAGGTAGGAAGGAGTTCGATTATAACTTTTCCTGAGGCCTTTTTATTTATTGATTTATTGTGTATACAGTTTTCTATCTGTATAGCAGAAGAAGGCATCAGATCTCATTATAGATGGTTTAGAGGCACCATGTGGTTGCTGGGAATTGAACTCAGGACAAGAACAGTCAATGCTCTTAACCTGTGAGGCATCTCTCCAGTCCTCCTGAGTGCCTTTCATTGCTTTGTCCCCACTACCACCGGCCAACTGCCTCTAAGCCGCTTAAACTTTTTAGAAGGCTACAAAGAACTTTCATATTCTCTTTAATCAAGATTATATGAATTTAAAGTTTATGACTTGAAAAATTTACATACTTATTAAATGTACATAAAACACATATTTGCCTGATTGTCCCAATTATAATGCCTGAGGGGTCCATGCAATAGGTGACTCAAAACACCTTAATATTAGTTTGCATATCCTATTAATAGAGAGAACACATCTCAAAATAGCTTTAGCGAAAAAGTCAGGAGCATGAAGCTGTTAGCATGTGCCCTCCATGGTACCCACAGTGCAGATTCCAGGGCCGACAATACAGCAACCAGCAACAGGATCTGTGCTGTATTTCCTTGTTCCGTCTCCTCAGTGACCTTCAGCCTGCAGCTGTTATCTTTTCTCGTTTTTGAAGACGGTGGTGTTTTAGAAAAGTACAGGCCAATTACTTTTAGAAAATAGCTTAGGTCATTTGATTCTCACAGTCAGGGCTGTATTCCCGACAGTGTCAGGTGGCAAGGCTTTCTCACTCCAGGTACTGACCACTCATGTTGGCTGACAGGTCATCTGCCTTGCTTCTCCAATATAAAATCAACTTTAGTCTATTATGTGCTTATTAAGTACCCTATGGGAGAATTTGGGGGACTCTGTAAAATCCCACATCTCCTCAGTACTCACCCACAGCTGATCCTCTCCTAAGTCAGGAGGTTATTGCTTTGAACAATTACTGAGAGGTGGTTTCCCTTTTCTGTCATTTCTACAGTTACTCATGGTAAATGACCTTCTATATTCTATAGTAAGGCAGAGAATTCCTTTTTCATTTGAGCACTCATTATTTTGTCAGTCTGGATTATCATTCTGCTTCATGGGTTGTAATTTGTTAACACCCCTATATAACCCTACTGTGACCACTAGAAGCCCTTTCAAGTTGGTTTGTTTATTCTTGAGAGATGTCCCCCTCAATCTCTCTGTACTTTTGGCCCCATTAGAGCCCAGGCTTATGTAGCCTGGTCTCAGTCTAGATTCAGGCCTTCCCCCCTACCCAAGGAACTCTTTCAGTAGGCAGTATTTGAAAACCCAGATTTGGGCTGTAGGTGGTCATATCTCCTGATTTTAAAATCCAGGTTTGGGTTGTAGGTGGTTATATCTCCTGATTCTATAGACAGCTGGAAAGCATACCCATGTGTGTGTGTTCAATATATTTATTTGAACATGAAAGTGTACAGCTTTCCCTGTGTCTCTGCGTCTATATCAGGTGTTGGTTAAGGACAACCCAGCAGTCAAATCCAGTGCTGTCATGGCTCAGGAGACCTGGTTGGCCCTTTCTTCCCACACCACAGTTAATCAGGAAGACTTCTGTGATTTGAAAGATGCCAAGTTGGTTTTTTGGTTTTGTTTTTGTTTTTTTTTTCCTCTCACCAGCTAACCAGCAGCTCTTCAGCAGGACACCAGCAGGGTGTCCTCAAATCAAGTTCGGTTCTAATGCTGTCTACTAGAGATAGTGTCATATCCCAGAAGCTGAAGCCCCCAAGGCTACCCATCTCCCTTCTGACCCAAGCCCCAAGAGTTTTAACTATGCTTGTGATGTACCACTATAAATCAGGGTCCCCATAATTTCCCCCTCAAGTTCAAATACTTAACTTGAGTGGCTGTCAGAAGGTAAATACACTGGTCACTTTATTATAAAGGACATTGCAAAGGCTGCAGGTGAAGTGGTGCTTAGGGTTGGGGTTTGGAAGCAGGGCTCCCACAACCTCTCTGGGCATGCCACTTCTCCAGGAACTCCTGGGGCCCAAAATTTAGAAGCCCCTGAAATCTGCCCTTTGGGGTTATATGGGGTCTTCATAGGCATGGCTAAGACACAAGCACCACATGGAATGTGATCAAATAGAAAGGGTATGAACGAAGCCCAGTAGGCTGTAGCTACAGCAGGCCTTTCTTTCTCTTCAGAACAGAGTCCCTCCCTGCAGGCCCTCCTGGAGGAGGAGGGTCTTGGGACCTACTATCACACCAGATAGGGCAGAGAATTTCATGAAGGCCAGCTCCCAGACAGAAACCCCTGGCATGATTACTCTCAATGACCAGCCAAGAGTAACAGTTGTCCTAATTTCTACAACTTGTACTTGGAGGGAGTTAGGAACCAAGAGCCAGGAACCATGATCCATGTAAAACAAAACAAAACAAAACAAAACATAACATAACAAAACCAGGCAGTGGTGGCTCACACCTTTAATCCCAGCACTTGGGAGGCAGAGGTAGGTGGATCTCTGTGCATTCAAGGCCAGGCTGATCTACAGAGCTAGTTACAGGACAGCTAGGTCTACACAGAGAAACCCTGCTCAAAAAACTAACAAATAACAAAAACAATACCTGAAAACATTTATATCACAGTCATCCACCTTTGCAATGAGTTTCACTGGGATATGCACATGCATTGTTGCACACTGCTTTACAGCTGGCAGGGTGGAGTGGTTGCAACAGAAATATGGCCTGCAGGTTGAAATATTTATTATCTGACCCCTTATGTAAAGTATATGATCCCCTGGTCTGTATTAAATATTAACAAGTTTATATTACTATTACTAATTTGTAACTCCTTTCTCTGACAATAAAAACGCTGTCATCCCAAATGTCTCCCAAAAGCCAAGGCCCTTTAGTCCCAATACAGAGAAGGGAGGCTATGCATTTGTATCATCTGGTAGCACAAGTCTATCCCGTAGTATTTTGTCCTTTTAAGAATCAGCTTTAAGGAGTAAACTAGTTTTATACCTTAAACTACAGTTTATTTCAACTACAGTTTATTCCTTTATGGTATACATTTCATTCAATATGTCAAGGTGCCCAGAATTCTCTAGGCATTTGCTTGGCTTTATATTAAGTCTATAATGAATTTCATTTGCCAGGGTTATCACATGTTTCGTGTATTATAGGCCATATGTGCCTATATATATTAATATATTCCAGGGTTTTGCATATGTGGGAATTGTAAGCTTTGTTAATTACATAAGTGCTTTGTTTCTCCTGTACTCTAATCTCTAAGACAGCCTCAGCCTCTTCATTCCCTATTCCCGGCAGACCTTGAAGCACAATGATAAATCCATAAGCTTGCTCTCTTATACAGCAATATCACAGCTTCCTATATACGATGTATACGCTCTTGTTGGGTCTGGGTAATGGGAGATAGACCACCAAAGTTTATTAAATCAGAAGCAAGCTTTATTCCAGAAAAAGAAAAAAATCACCACGGGGCAAAACAAACAAACAAACAAAAACCTTCAGAGCTATAGTGAGGACTAGAGCCAGTGATTGGCTTCTGGAACTGTCCCAATGGGGGCTTGTTTCAGTTCTCCTCTTATAGTAAAATCAAGGAATAGTTGTTGGTCAAAGGGATTTTACAACCTTGAGGTCAGGCTTAGAGACACATCACATTTTAAGTTTTACAAGTTTTGGGTATAGGAAGTTAACTTAGCATGATTTCAAAAGCCTGTGGCTGGCACAGCCGCTTTTCGCTGTCCCTGAAAGAATGCAAGGAGAGAGTAGAGTCACATAGGAGGACAGTTAAAATTTAAGGGAATGCATCACAGAGGGTCCCAGGGAGGCAATGGTTAGAAGCTAACCTTTGTCTGCCATGCCTGCCTAGCTGGGAAGCTGGGAGGTGGGAGACAGTTGTTAAAAGTTTCCCACTGTACACAGAGGCTGCCAGGATGTCTGCTCTTAAGACAGAAAGCTGACGTTGAAGGTTAACAGTGGCTGCTGGCTTTACAGGTGTTTTTTCTTTTTTTCAAAATGTGTTTGGACTTACAATTTTGTATTTCTGTATTTCTCTTCCTGGACCCTCACTCTGTGTGAGGCTTTAATGAAGTGTGCCAATTTGACTATACATGGTTAGTTTATAATTTCTCGTCATTCTTTCTTCACTAAAAAGAAGCACACATTGGAAGCAATCCCAACATAGATAGACACAATACAGACCGTATTCCTCTATGGTGTATAATTCTTCCCATCTTTGCTTTCAGGATGCCATGGCTTTTAACAAGTTTAATGTTCTTCACTGGCACATAGTGGACGACCAGTCTTTTCCTTATCAGAGTACCGCGTTCCCTGAGCTAAGCAATAAAGTGAGTAATTCATGTCACTGTCTGTGAACAAAAATCCTTGGCATAGCTTCATTAGAAGATCATAGCTTCACTGGTTTTCTTATAAATGGAACCAATGTGTAAAAGTTAGATATTTGTGGTTTAAAATCCTTTTTAGGTTGCTGCTTAGCATCTTATTTTCATAAATCTTTCTGTACTGTTACAGATACTAAGTAGTAGGACTATTACTGCAAATGTTATTCTAAACACAGTCTCTGGGAGCAGCAAAAATATTTTAAAAGCTTAATGTTGAAGACCTGAGCAGTTCATGAAGGACATAGTTAAGATATTCAATGGCTAACAGTAAATTTGCTTTAAATACGTTTAGAGCATGTACATGACCTACTTCCCAAGCCCCTGAAACATATAAAGTAGGACATTTTGGAGATGAGCTGTTTGGTTGTTGTTGGTTTGGTTGTTGTAAAAGGGGGGTCTCAGGCCGGCATGGCGGTGCACACATTTAGGGAAGCAGGGCAGGAGGACCTCAGTAAGCTGGAGGGAGGCCTGGTCTACACGGCGAGTTCCAGGACAGCCAAGACTAGATAGAGACCTCCCAATAAACAAAAATGCCAGGGTCTCTGCCATCTCAGGCTAGCCGTGAACTTGCCTTGAAAGTGGACCCCTTGCTTCCTCCCAAGTACTAGGACCACAGGCACTTTGGTGGTGCCTGTTGTGAGTGTTCAAATGGACTACTCTAGAGCAGTGGAACTGGGAGGTCACCCTCGGGTCTCATCATTTAATCTCCCTATAATAGAGAATGCCAGCTGACATGCAGCCACATGCCTTGTCAGGAATCCTGTCTTCTGGCCACAGCTCCAACTCTGGGATGGATCTGGGCTGAAGTATATGGCAGTGAGTCATTGATGTGCTGGCTGCTTCTCTTCTACTTTTGTGTGCCATTTCCAATGCACAGAGGGACAGAATAGTTCATTCAGTCCCCAGCTCCACCATCAGTCTGTGACCAATTCTGCTGTCACTGGCAGACTCTACCCTTCCCCCCACCCACTCTTTTAAATCAAAGTCCAGACTTACCTCACTTTCAAAAAGGCTTGGTTTGTATCTAATCAGTCATCAATGCTCATATTATCCTAAGTGTTTTTCCTCTTGTGGTCCATGAATTATGGATGTTAATGAGTCTGCTAATTCTTTTCTTCTTGTAAATTATTGTTATGGATGAAACCAACGGAACCTGGTGTCCTGTCTCTCTGCTGTCATGGTTTTGCTGGTTACATTCCACAGTCTCAATTAACATGTCCACTATATTTTGATTTGGGGCTTAGAGGTCAAGGTGATTTGTACAAGCTGAGCATGGTATAGCCTATATTTTGAGGCAGGTGCCAACCCTTATCTTCCAGTGGATCTTCATCATTACTTAGAGCCACTGCTAACTCTTCAGGTGACACCAAGAGACTGAGTTAATATTTCAACATAATTAAGTTACTTGTTGTCAGTCGTCACTGCTCAGAGACATCTAACACCAGCGATGTGTGCACTGGATCCGAAGTCGGTGGCGGGATCCGACACACTGAGGCACGGTGGCAGTTCTGCCTACATCCGCCGGCCAGTCAGAACCTGGTACGCCCGAACACTGCTGATGCCGGGGTAAAGGTAACACCTCCATCCACCAGAAGAGGGCATACATCAGAGTATTCGATCTGTTTGCATCCACCAGAAGAGAACCTTTGTCCCATAGCCACCAGGAGAGCAAGAAACTCCTGCTACACCCACCAGAAGAAAGGATGAGAAGAGGACAAGGTAAAAGCACATTCAACAACAGAAAACCCAATATGACATCACTGGAGACTAGGAACCATACACCAGCAAGACCTGAACATCACAGTGCAGATGAAGCAGAAGAGAATGACCTTATAAACATCTTCAGGAAAATGATAGAGGACCTCAAAGAGGACATGAGAAAATCCCTTAAAGAAATGAAAAAAAAAAAAAAA